TTTTTCACAGTCATGGGGGACGGGGGTGTGGGAGAGTTACTGGGCTATATAGGTATGTGCCGCAGGATAGGGTATGGGTTTTGAGATTCTTGATCCTTTAATAGGTTATCATTTTTGCCCCTGTTGGCATTGTGTTCCCAGTGTGATCCTCAGATAGGGTACCTAACTTGTATCAGTGTATAAATGTCCAGCTAAACAAAAAACAAATTCTAGGCTTGATGCTTAACTTATGTTACAGAAACGAACATTTTTGTATTTCACTTGAGTAGGGTGTCATTTTTCAGGTTTGAGCCTTAACTTTGCTTCATCCTTCAATAAAGTCAGGTTCAAGACCCTTTGTGGCACACATCTGTCCTAAATTTATGGCATTACCTCCCCCAGGGGCAGAGTATGCCAACCAGATGAACACTATACAAAAATACAATACAACACTGAATCAAAACTTGTCATGCGTGCATGCCAGGCCCTTTGCACCAAGTTGCAGCCCAGGCAGCAAGTTGAAGGAAGCCAATGCGCATTTCCAGAAAATGTTGCCCAAAAAAGGTCAGAGCAAATTTCCAGGGAGTCTCAAATGCCCATCAAAATTTTAAGATCATAATCTATAAACCAGATTTCTGACAGTCATGTGGCCTCTAAATAGTCTCATTTTAATTTTAGTCTATTTTTAAACAGACTAAAAATTAGAGAAAAAAAAGAAATTTTAGAAGAGTCCAACATCAGACTTTCACTTTTATCAGCTAATATACTAACAAGGATTTAGAAATCATCAGGTGAAGTCCAACATGCCAGTTAACGTTAGTTTTATCGAAGCAGCAAAAGAGAATTCAATAAAAAAAACATTTAGGCAAATTGTGTAATTATCATTTATTGCTTTTCTTAACTGAAAATACAATAAACTAGGACCACAGTTGTGAGTTTAAGAAGGTCTGACTAAACCTCATAATGGTTTCACCAAATACCACTAACACTAATCCTGTTTTACAAGATTTGACATACACTTTTCCTCTTTTATTTAGTGTGCAACATTATCACCATCTCACTTGGCAATATTATTATAATGACTGCATGTTTGCATGAATGCAACATTCCTTTGATTAACTATTATTCTAAACCTCTAGTAATCACGATGAAAAATTCTCAAGACATCTACAAATTACCCCATTTTCCCCAAGAAATAATAGTGAATCAGTAGGAAAATAAAAGAAAGCAAAATCTTGGTTTGAAATCGTTCCACAAAATTAAAAATTAAATAAGTTTGTCACTTGAAACCTGAGATCAGTCCCACTTGGATCAATATGGGAGATGGTTTCCTACTATCATGAAAATTACAATTATGCCTTACAATCCCTTACACAACCAACACCAATACATTGTACGTAATAAATGCCAAATGTATTAATGAAACATTTTCACAAAACACCTAACATTTTTGACTCAACGTAGCAATGTACTTTGAATGCTCACAGGGGGTCAACTAATTAACGGTCCCTCAAGAATCTTGGGTTATGGTTCTGCTGATAAGATATTCATTTAGTAAAAGTGTCTGACTGGTTGTTTCCAGTGCCTTGCTTGATCAGAATTTTTGTTCAAAGTACACTGTTACATGTCAAAACTACATATTCCCATATGGGATTTAAAGCTGTAGTTTTTGTGCAGAGTTTTGAAATAAAACATTACTAGGTGCTTTTCTAAATACTTTAGTCTGAAGCTTTTCAGACTGCTATATACTAAAACACGAGAAAATGTTTAAAACAAATTAAATGAATCCAATGATGTGTTCTGTAACAAGTTTCTCTATAGGAAACATGTCAGGCTACTAGATTGTCTGCAGATTTCTGCATCCAGTGCCAGCAAGCAGTGAGCCCTTTTAGAAAATGAAAAATCTCTGGGCCATAGGGATTTGGTCTGCTGGGCTGCAGGTGATGTGCTCCTTTTTGGAAGGATCCTTACTGTCAACAATGTGAACCTTGTATGTCTGGGGATCAACTGCAAAAAACAAAACAGCAGAATTCAATCTTAAATAACTGCGTCAACTCATGATCTGCTTTACTTAATAATCATGCACATGATGATCATAGATAACTAAAACAAATTCTCTTTCTGTCATTTAAGAAGCCTTGAGGAAAAAACTAAAAAGTACACTAAAACATCATCAAAACATTATCAAGAGGAATGTATCAATGTGTAATGCAATGATCATTTCGTAACATATTAACCTGTAAGCTTTGGCAAATAGTTGTTCAACACCATATCCGTCTTTTTCACTGTGCGGCACCTGCAGATAGAGAGTATGATGATGAAACATTATCAAATATTTCCGTAAATCTAACACCTTTAACTTCAATCTTTCCAAGACTAATACAAAAATAATCTTGTTTTAAAATTATGATGAAAATTATTCACACAATGCTCACTTGCCAGAGGTTCATTTATTATTAGTTAACAGTTAGGCAAGCGTCAACTGTCCTCTTCTTTTACCTGTACCTGATCTGGATTGTCTAGCTTTATCTAAAGTTGGATTTCACTTACCCTTTTACTGCAACTGTTTTCTTGCTGATTCCATATGTTTGGCAAACATTATGATCACTGCATTCCTACAGACACACCAACAGAACACTTCTCATCATCTTAAATTGGTTTGAAGACACATGCAAGTTGAGAAGGCCTAAATATGACTGCATTGACTCTAAACAGCATGAAAGAGCACCTTAAACCTACCTTGCTTACAAATACAACAGAGTTAGCTCCAACAGCAGCTCCAAAGGCACCAAACATAGGACGTGGCCTGACAGGCTGAGGGGTTGGTATTGAGGCATTGGGATTTCCTGTTAAAAACAAACAAGAAATTGGTTAATCTGAGAGAGCTGACATACATTTACCCAACATGTATAGTACATACCTGTCTAGATTGTTACAGAGCTATGTAATCACAGCTAAGTTTCTATATTCCCATGGGGAACAAGTAAGCGCGATTAATAATATTGTGTGACAGACGTAAAATTGAAAGAAATTCTAAAATATGTAATTGGAAGCAAACCAAAAATATCTTAAAACTCAATAAAAGATGGTATTATAGGGTACATGTAGAAGTATTTTAGATTTTTAAAACAAAGTTGTTTTTACCCATTTGAGACCAAGCAATTTGGCCTCCTTTCACTACAATCTCTGGCTTGGCACCAAACAATGCTGGATTCCATAGAACCAAATCAGCCAATTTTCCAACCTGAGAATTGATGACACAAACAAATTCATTTTTTTTACTAGTACTGTAATTTGATTGAGTGAACTATAAACAGAATGTGCTATGGGTATAAAATGTGAATGAACTCAGACTGAGTGTAAAGAGTATAATTGTATTTTATGTACTGTAATAAATGTGTAATTGTACTTGCATGAAAGCTCAAGTTAAGGATTTACACTACTCCTGATATTTGAAAATTCTTCCACATTGTACGCCTGAAAACTCATGCAATTTTGAGAGAATTTTCAAATATCCTTTATTGTACTTTCACATGATTACCTAGTATACTAATTCATAAAATTAGCTCCACATTACCTGTGCATACAGCTAACCTGTCCAATCTACCAGTTATTGAGAAATAAAAAGCTGCATTCAAAAGAAATGTAAAGAAAAATAGAGGTGCCTACCTCTATAGATCCAATATGATGTGCCATACCATGTGCCAAAGCTGGGTTTATAGTATACTTGGCTATGTAACGGCGTACACGTATGTTATCATTGCTACCCTGGTAATAAAGGAGATTAATTTTAATCATGAGACAGTCAGATTAGTCAGATTTCTCCCAATTTCAAAAGTGATCAAAATATACTTTCTCTTCAAAGTATCAATACAAAAAAGTGTACATTCATATTTACCTTTTCTTCAGAAAGCCTTCCTCTGAGTTTCTTCATCTTGTCCGCTGTTTGCCACGTACGACAGATCACCTCACCAACACGACCCATGGCCTGCAAAAGCAACACAGTCATTAATAATAACTGATATATTGTTTTCTTACAACAAATTATAGAGTTCTCACAAATCAAGGTCTAAGCAATTTTCGTGCAGCTATTTATCTCACACTGCACTGTAATATCCCAGGGGAGGTACTCCCTATAATGGGCCTATGGGGGAGCTTTGCCTGAAAGAGGTACCGTTTTCAGGCTTTAGGTGGGTAGAAGGGTAGGGATTTCACGAGTTGAGGTATATGAAAAGGTAAGGAAATCTGTCATTTAGTTATTTTAAAGGGCCTTTTGTTAAAATATATCAAACAAACCCACCTTGTGACTGTAACATTACTGTCATTTATTAGACACTACATGAAAATGACAAGAAGACTTCCTCAAAATATGGGCCAATTATGAAAGTATGTGAAAGGGGTATTTTCTGTCAAAATTGTATACAAAGGGACAAGGGGTTGGACCTCGGGGCAGAGCCTCACCATGTAGAACTTTGTAGAGTACCCCCACCCCACCCCACCCCCCATGCCCACCCCCAGATATTAAAAAAACAAGTGAGAAGCAAGATCATTACCTGTGAATCTGAAGATATGATGCTAATTGCCCCCATATCATGAAGGATGTCTTCTGCTGCAATTGTTTCTGCTCTGATACGGGACTCTGCAAATGCTACATCTTCCTTCAGATTTCTGCACAGAAACATTTACAGAGTTGATTTGTTTGGACTTCGTTAAAATCACTCCAGACAGTCGTGATCCTTCTTTGTTACCGTCAAAACTCTTCAAAGGCCTCACTTATAATTATCAATAATTAATATATATCCAAGATGTTCATCTTATTGGCTTAACCTAGTTGAAATAGAGCCCTGACTAAAAGTAATTTATGTGTAATATAAATTACTAAATAATTAAAATGATTGATAGAAACATCAATTGACAATGCAACTCAACAATCATGGTATTGTTTAAGAGGGAGATACATTGTATTAACCTTTGGGATGGCATTTGGCTTTGATTTGAATGCTGTTATGTCATAAACAGTTCTTATAATATATCTACTATCAAGAGGCAGGGTAGCAAAACTGCAGTTACCATCAATAATCCTTAAGCAATCTTCATTCAGTTAATCAACAATTAATTATTTGTTTCATTCTGGGGAACTCAAAAGAGTTTATTTCCTGAGTTTTACAGAGTGGGTCACATGACATAGATCTTGTGTTTCAAGGGCATCAGTGGTCATTTTCAGTTTGTTTGTATGCGGATCATACACTTCTTTGTTTTGTTTGTTATTTTTTGCCCATCCTTCCCACCCTTTCGTGGACAGAGAGGTTATTATTGTTTAATTAATATCTCACTCCCCCCATCTCCTTCTGTGGGAGGTCGTGGGTTTAATAAAGCCTCTCTCTGTGCCAAACGGATTTGTGTCGCAGCGTATGTATGGTAGCACTTGTTTTCAAGGGTAATTATATTCAACCAGTATAAAGTTATAAAACACATGGGCAAAATCAAAGCAACCATACTTGTCAAGATGGTGGCAAACCATCAACATATCCAGGTGCTCATCAATGGTGTTGCGAGTGAAGGGCCTGGTGGGATTGGTCGATGACGGAATCACATTCCCTTCAGAACACACCTTAATGATATCAGGGGCATGGCCACCACCAGCACCCTCGGAGTGATAGGTGTGAATTGTCCGGCCCTGATGACATAATGACACAAGTTAAATTTCAGACCTCCAAATCATTTTTATTTACAGACATAAAGTGCAATATTATAAACACAAAAAATATATACCTTGAAAGCTTCTATTGATTGTTCTACACATGCTGATTCATTGAGAGTATCCGTGTGGATGGTGATCTGAAAAATATCAAAATTGAGTGAACAGAAATAACTTCATTTCACCATTTACAGACAATTTCAGAAACTAAAGGTGACTTCAGAGCTTTAAAGACAAACCAATTTGATAAAGTGTACTGTAAGTTATAAGGCAGAAAACACCTCCAGAACCCACGGTAATCATGATCGAAATACCCATGATTATAGGTCTAGCTTACCCAGGAGGCAGACTCCCATGTGAAAGGTTGGGGAATTGAATTAGACTCCCAAGGGAGACCAATATGGGCGTGGCTCAAGCATTTACACCCCTAAGCAAGGCAACTAGCATCCTTGACATTTCCAGCCCAGTTTCCACCCCAGGGGATGGGGGGAGGGGGGGCATCATTTCACCATTTACAAACAATTTCAGAAACTAAAGGTGACTTCAGAGCTTTAAAGACAAACCAATTTGATAAAGTGTACTGTTAGGTTACAAGGCAGAAAATACCTCCAGAACCCACGGTAATCATGATTTAAATACCCATGATTATAGAGTGACATAGCTTACACAGGAGGCAGACTCCCTCGTGAAAGGTTGGGAACTTGACTTAGATTCCCAAGGGAGACCGATATGGGTGTGGCTCAAGNGGGGGGGGGTAGCTTAAAGATAAGTACTGCATAAAATACCATCACTTACATCTAAGCATGGACACGTGACGCCAAAACACGCTCTAATTGGGTATCAAACATGGCATGATTGGTCATCAAACATTTGAAGTTTAGCAGACCGTAACGCGAAGTTTCATGCTCAAAGTTCAGCACACAAAATGGTGAAAGATTGGACACTGAAGACTTCTTCAAAGAAATTGACCCTGACCTGTGTCAATATGTACACGCCTTTCGCGAGAGTGGTTTTACTTCTAGTATAACCATAAAATATTGCCTGGAGCAAGACTTACAGAGTCTTTCAGAGCACAAAAGTTCACGTTACGGTCTGCTAAACTTCAAATGTTTGATGACCAATCATGCCATGTTTGACACCCAATTAGAGCATGATTCGGCATCAGGTGTCCATGCTTAGATGCAAGCAACGGTAAAACAGATCTGGAAAACTGACTCACCTGCACATCATGTTTTTCAGCAGCAGTCAGAGCACAGTCAATTGCAGCAGGAGTTGTTCCCCAGTCCTCATGAAGTTTCAAACTTAAGAAAAAATTCAAGTTATATTTGGGTTTTAAATTCCATAATACTTACTTACTACTAGTAGATAAGACAATTTCTGGTAATCATCAATGTAGCAGATAGCAGTCTCACCCAATTGCACCAGCTTTGATCTGTTCTTCTAACTCCTCTGCAACACCACTGGACTTAGATGTGTTTCCCTTTCCTAATAAGTAGAAATTAAAAGTTGGTGTAGAGATAAAGAAGTAGAGTTACTGAAATGTGTACTAAACAAATTTAAGCTCTGTACTGTTAGCCATTAAAAGTAAAACCTAGATATAGATATGTGTCCATAGGTACAAATCCACAACAGTGTTGAAATTATATATTTAAGCAGTTATGAGGCTAGCCTCACAAGCAACCAAAGAGGCAGTTTATAGAGAAGATGGAGGTCTGGCAGAAAAAGCAGGAATTGGAGGAGGCATGGGGGAAAAGAAGTCTATGCATGCTCTCTAGCACTTTGAATTCTCTTTGCTTCCACAAGCACAGCTTAAGGCCTGAAAGTTCTCCCACAATTTCTCAATCTCTGGCTTCTTTAGAATCTTACAGATGAGACTTGACCATGAGAGCAAGATCATTACCCTGCAGGTGTCCCACAAATAAGTGTTAATATTTTCAATGATCTTGATCACCATGTCAGTGACTGGATATTGTTTATACAAGCAGTCCAAGTCATACCATTGCTTGGGTCATTTAGTTTTTGTTTAGTGAAACAATAAACAGCTATGGGCTCACCCAACAATACAAGAAGAAACTCCAACTCACCTGTGAAACCAAAGTTAAGGGGAAATGCATCTGTACTTTGAATCATTGCCCTGGAAAGTGCAGACAATAGTGTTTTTATGTAGTGATGATAAACTTACAGAACAATTTGTTTGCCTACCTGTAGAACAGTGAAGGCTGTCAGAACTGAAAGTTACTTCACAGGTGAATAATTAGTAATACATGCAGTTGTAAGTTTAATTAGTCAGAGGCATTGTGTGAGACTATACGTGCATGGTTCTAGGTAGAGAATGATGTTATTGCTAACTGTGTAATGTAGAGGTTATTACCATCAGTATTAAACTTGGCTAGTTCAACACTAACAGATCCTATACTGAATTGCATTGTATCACCAACTGAAAGTGCACTATGGCCAACTCACTTGATGTGGTTTGGTCCAGGGGTGCAAGTTGTTGCACATGTACCAGTAGCAGGCCCTGCAAAAAAATATAATTTTATATATTTTTACTAGTAATTGGGATTTTTGTATTTTGCTCAGACACTTGGTTTTAATTTTACTCCTCAAAGAAAATGATTTATAAATAAAGATTTTTCTTGAAATTTTTTTCGGAAGTCCTTTACATAGGGATAACCTCATGACTTTCTCTACAGACATATTTTATTACTTTTTTACTTCAGTCTTTGCATCTTTAATAAGGTATGTATGACAAAAAAAGGAACCAAATTTGAACTGAGAGACTAATATTGTGTCTAGTCTCAGAGCAACACTCTCAAAAAGGTACTTTTTTTTTAGCAATTTTGGCAGGGTCAATTCCTAGCCCCCTATATCACAGCCCTCAGCTAGGCCACCCCTGCTTGAAGAGAAACCATATATGTTAACATCGAATTGATCTCTTGTTCTGTACCTGTTCCACCTCCAACCATAGTCGTCAGTCCAGATGCGATAGCTTCTTCAGCAAGTTGTGGGCATGTAAAGTGAATGTGGGCATCAAAACCTCCTGCAGTCAAGATAAGCCCTTCACCAGCAATGACTTCTGTGCCGACACCACACACCATTCCCTATCATAAAATAACTATGAATTACTTATAATAACTAATAAATTAGTTATCAGAAGATAAGTCCTGTTGTCTACAAAGCCTACCACATAAAAAAAAATACAGCTGCATTTAATTGGACATTCCACAACTGTTGTTGAAGTGATGGCACATGCAAATTTGAAAACGGTGTTTAAAGTACTCTGGGTGAGTCTTGAGTCACATTGTAACAATATAGTCAAAACGGCACCAAATCTTATGTTTGTAAAACTGTTGGAATCTACTCGCAATTTTCTACTTCAGAACTTAAATTTCAGCAAAGTTGATGAAATCTACATTTGAAGAAAAGATGAGAAAGATTAAGAGATTACTGTACATGTACTACGTTGATTATAAGTTTACATTTGTCACTCAGATTACGAATAAAATTGAAGTAAATTTAAATTGAATGGTTACACTTACCTCCGTGACTCCTGCCATGACATCTGGGTTACCTCCTTTTCCAATGGCAGATATTAATCCATTCTAAAATGGCAACAAAAATAGTCAAGCTAATGAACACCGCTCATGACAAGGCACCTTACAAACAAACACTGTTCCAAGAAATATAATTATTTTTAAAATTGACAATTTTAAATAACTCAATTATCCTGGTAATGGCCTTTAAGGGGAGGCTCTATCCAAAAGGGGTTAGTACCTTTTTCAGCCTTCGGGTATATGAAAGGGTAGGGGTTTTTACAAGTAGAGTATGAATCTGTTATTTAGATATAATATGAACAGGAACTTAATAAAAGAAACCTTTGTTTCGGTTATCATCTCTTCTGGTAATGCTTGAGGTTTTCGAGTGGTATTGTAAAGGGTACAAGAAGAGGGGGTAACTATTCTGTCAAAATGGTATACAAAAGAGTAAGGAGTTGAACCTCGGAGGGGGGGGGAGCCTTCCCGTAAAAAACTTTGTAGAGTACCCCACCCTACTCCTACCCAGGGTAACCACTCAGTCAGTTCCATCAATTTTAAAATTGTGGGTTAAAACAGAAGTTGGATTCATAGGACAAACCTTTATTCCTACGTCAGCCTTGAAGATACCAGCAACAGCATCTACAATCAGAGCATTGGTGATAACTGTATCCAGGGCATCTTTGTGGGTGACATCTGCTGCCTGGCCCATGCCTTCCCTCAAAACCTACAGAAACAAATGTGTAGGATTTTCAAATTTTTTATGGATTTTGAGTGATATTGTCCAGGTTTGGCTAAATTGTGTGGTCCCACATGTGTACACCAGCACATCCAGTCAGAAGCCAATAAATGTTATTAAAAACCAATTTAACAATAAATTGTTTGTTTTTTTTTTAAGTCTATTTATTATAATTTAAATTAGGATTACATGCAACAATTCCAGTTTCTGTCAGGAGATTTTTACCTTTCCTCCTCCAAACTTAAGCTCATCTCCATATACAGTGCAATCTCTCTCCACTTCAATAACAAGGGCACTGTCTCCAAGGTAGATCTGAATTTAAAAAATTAGGTCAAAAAATTTACATGTCACTAAAATTTATCAAGAGACAGGAAACAAGAAGTCATAGTCCCAGCCACATGCAAAACAATTTTTATTAACATCTTGAAAATAAAAACTTTTTCTGGTCCCTAGAGAACAATAAGGTAACCTACATGTACATGGCAAATTTAAGATACATGTCCATGTACAACAGTACCACAGTTTGATATGAAAAAATTATAAAAACTGACTGAAAAATGTATGATATCAGGATTGTTCCAAAAAGCATTTGGTGATTAAAAAAATTATTAACTGCAACATATATTGGCTATTAAGTATATTCACTAGCTTCTTCACAAATTATTCAATACTACAGAGTGTATACTGAACTCAACGTGTCAAACATCACTCTTTATATATGGCACAAATCTTGAACTAGATTAACTAAAAGACAATGATTAAGATATGTATTATCAACAGCATTCAAACCTTGTCTCCAACAGTAGGACCAAAGATTTCAATGTACAACTCTCGTTTAATAGTCGCATTGCTGATACCAGTCTCCTTATCATCCTAGGAGTTCAAAAAATTGTTAAATGTAAAAAG